TCAACACATCACGGAATATGGATCCACCTCCCAGGGAAACTTTGAACTGTGTGATGGCCTCCTGTTGTACAATCAGTTTGTTGGTTCATGCTTTTAAATGTCAGCATTGATAAAAAAACAGGTGTGAGCGGAGATCATGTTGGAATGCGGCCGCGGAGGTACTCCATCACTGCGTCCGTTCCTCGGGCCACGATGGCTGCTCTGGGTGCACGGAAAGGGTTCCCCTCCAGACTCAGACACCTACAAATAAAGAACAAACATATTGAGCCCTTTTCGCATTAAAGTTCTGTAAAGAGCTGAAAGACTTTACTTAAGAAACCATCTGAAGGAGTTTTGATGCAGTTTAAATACTGGTCACATCTGAGGCTCATCATAAAAACACAAACAGAGTAATGTTTCATTAGCTGGAATTTACAGGTCTTTGATCGAGAAATCCAGTCGAAGTACAACAGATATATAATATCTCCAGTCATGATGTCCAAAGAAAGTAGATTTAAAATAGGTTGGAAAGTTGGTATCAGCCAAGCAACAAGATGCCATCACTGTAAAAAGAGCGCTCTGCAGCTATGGAGGACCTATTGAAACTGGTTTTTAGGATTATTATTTCCTAAAATATTTTTTTATATATTTGGCGAACAAACATTGAGTTTTACGTATCGTCCACACGGTTCCGCCACGTTGAAGCTTGCCGGTGGGCGTGTCTGGCGTGCGACCATCGACCAATCAAATTAATCTCCCGCCACGGACACACAAGCACACGGTTTGATTGGCTAGCGCTTGTACTGGCATATGATTTGATTGACTGGCGCTTCCGTCGAAGCTTGAAAGTTAAACTTTTCTCAACTTTCAGCGCGAGCAACGCAGGGCTCGAGCTTAAGGAAGTCCCGTCGTCGGAAAAAATAGGGTCGGGGAGGATAAAAAATTATTTTGGGACGAGAGTTAAAATAAAAATACCTTGCTAACTCTACTACGAACGGCAATGAAACTGACTATATGTACACACACACAGCTGTGCCCACAAATTCGTGGGTCTAGCTATGTACTGATTGTGTGTATTTCGCGGGTTGAGTGATGTACAATGGCAATGGCATCCCGTGGAGGAATTCTGCAATTTTTTACCGTTACATCACAAAAACGCACAGCAGAACCAGACCCTGGAGCGCCGGTATGGAGCCAGAATTGGGCGAAGTGAAGTAATGGAAGCACAATGCAGTTCAGCAAAGTGTGACGTCCCCCCATTCAAAGTGAATGGGAAGCGTCTCTGTTGAAGCACGCGACGGAAGCGTGTGGACGATACGTTAATGAGGGGGTTGGACCTGGGCATAAAAGCCTCCACCTTCAACATTCACAAAAAAAGCCTCTTGAAGCTGTACCATAAACTCAACAGGAAGTCGGCCATTTTGAATTTCATGTTCCGTTTTTGGCGATTCTAACCCTAACCCTTTTTCAGGTGCCGTACTTTAATAAACTCCTCCTACAGATTAAGTCCGATGAACTTTAAATTTGATTTAAAACAGCGTTCTTTTCAATAAGATAATAAATCTACATGTCTCAATTATGTCATTGTCTGAATAGCTTTCCTATCAATGGTTTGTAAGCTCAATAATATAAACAGATAATATCTGACTAGAATTTCTCCAATTTGTCTTGGCCATTGAAAACTTCTCGGACATGTTGACCAGCAACCAATTCTTCTACTGGAGACGCTGCTTCAGAACAGAGCACAAAGAGCTGAGACATTGAGACATGAGGGGACGATGTTCAGGACCAACCTGAGGCTGCTGCACAGGCCCAGCTCAGGGGGGACGTTCAGCAGGTCGTTGTTGGAGAGATCCAGCGTCGACAGATTAATCAACTTCATGAGACGATGAGGGTCCACCCCGTTCACCTGGTTGTTACCAAGCAACACCGTCTCCAAGGAAACAATGTCATAGAGGACTTGAGGGAAGGACTTGAACCTGGGATCAGTAAGAAGACACTGAGTGGACTCATTCACTACTTTCTCTCATCCAGAATGTTACTGGTTGGTCAGCTGATGTGATTGACAGCAGCATCACAGTGACTCACCTGTTGTAAATGAGGGTAACAGACCGCAGTTTGGTCAAGTCTTTCATTTCAGACGGTAAATCAGTCAGCTGGTTATTCCTGGAAAAGAAAGAGGCGGGACATATTCAGACATGAATGCAGTCTTCAAATCAGTGGGATCACAACGCAACAGATGTATTGATTGATGTATTGTTTATTTTATCTTTCCTAGGGTGGACAACCATCAAGTCTTTAGGGGGGGCGTGCTCATTAGGGATGGGTATCGTCTGAAATTTATCGATTCCGATTCTGCTTATCGATTCCGGATCTTATCGATTCCCCGTTTCGATTCCAAAATTGTAAAAGAAAGAGGTCAAACGTTTAGATAACAAAAATATCTTTATTATTTTTAAGCTTTAAAAAGGTGGGGTAGGTAATTTTGGAGAAACCAGCTCGAGTACGGTAGAATTTGAAAATACAAAGCCGGATAAATTCTGCCACTTCCTTACAGAGCCCCTCCTCCAACACACACAAACGCGCGCACATGACCAATGAGGGCACGAGATAAGTTTGTGCACAGATGGAAGGCTGACAGGCAGGTAGGCCAGTTATTTTAGCCGGGTCGGCTAAAATGATTGGCCGTGCTTTTTACAGTACTACGGCTTCCACAGATGACATTTATTAATGGATTTTTTGTCAAAGCACTTAAAGGCCCTGACACACCAGGCCAAAATCGTCCGTTTTCGTTAGTCAGACCACGAAGCGTGCCCTGCCGCCCAAACTCAATTTGGTGTGTCCCACACCGTCGGCCGTGACACGCCTTATTTGGCCTTTCACGGCTGACGCACGTTCGATTCAACATGTTGAGTCGAACGTGCGTCGGCCACAGGCAGCCGGACAAAGAAATCACTCTGATTGGCTGCTCAGCTAGCGAATCAGTGCATGAGAAGCGAAACGGTTGCTTGAGAATGTCTTCCACAAGCAACACTCCAATGGCTGATAGCTCCAGTACCGCACGAAACATGTTTTCGATGGACGAGTGAAAAAGGAACGCACACACTATTTGTTGTTTGTTTAGATCTTCTTCTCTGTCTTCCGGTTGTTGTCTCTTTTGAATGACGAATACACACTACCGCCGCCTGCTGCTAAGGAGAGTTATTGCCACTCACGCATGTGCAGTTCGTACGTGCTTGGCTGAAGTCTTTGCGGTGTTCCAGTGCGACACATGGCCAAGACGCAGGAGAACACGGCGACGCAACAGTCGGCGTCGGCGAGTTCTCTGGTGACTGCTTGGTGTGTCAGGGCCTTAAGATATTCATTGCTATCGGGATGTTAAGAGCATTCCATGGAATATAACAAAGTGTATCTCGAGCCGGTTTCTCAAACTTACCTACCCCGCCTTTAACTGCCATTTTTACAAATAAAAAATATACATGCAATACAAATGTATTACACAATAGCTGTGCTTTATTTTAACTGAGCAATGCCTGTGGCAAGCTATTCACTTGCCACAGGCATTGCTCTCTGCCTTGTCTTTTTCTTTTTTAGTGTAGTGGAGCCTCACTTTAGAGCGTTTACCGTGATCCATCTTTGGTGTTATGAAGTGACTGAGCTCGTGAACTGTCTACGGGAGGGCGGGGGATGCCTGTCAGCGCAACTTACATGATGCCGTTTAAAAAAATTAAGGGCGATGCCGGCCGTCAGCGAACCGAGCCGGCCGTTCTGTGATTCTTCAGAACACACAGATGGCCAGTCCGCTGCTGGTTACCCTGTATTCCACCGGGTCGCCGCGGCGCAGACGGACCCGGTGGAATACAGGGTCTACCGTGTTTAGGAACCGTTAAGCAGAACCGAAATTGTGTATTTTTTATATGGGTACCCGGCATTTCCTTATCGGTTCTCATCTGGAACAGAGTTTTGGTTCCCAACCCTAGTGCTCATCCTATTCTTCTCTAAATGTGTGTCCATGTGTGTGTGTGTGTGTGTACCTGAGGTCAATGTTTGTCAGCTGCAGGAACTTGCAGATGTCAGGAGAGCAGCAGGTCAGTTTGTTGAAACCCAGATTGATGTCTGACAGAGAAGAGACAAACTCTGCCAGCCTACAGGAACAC